AGCAATGGATGGCTTGGCCGAACTACACACACTCAACACTTCCTTACAAATTTTTTTGATCAATCACAACTCCAATCATCACAAATTCAATCCACAACCATAGCTCTGATACCAATTTGATATGAATTCATGCAACCTCAATTCATATATCACCCTACTTCAACCAATTTCAACACAACCTAAGTTAGACTTCACTTGCAACACCCTAACACAATTCGGCTAACACTCTACAAGCACACACAACCATTATAACACTTTAGAACAACACCTTTTATCTAGCCTCAATCAACACAAACTCATTCCACTTTGAAATGCACAACACTAACTTGGAACAAAACAAAATAAACCAACCCGAAAAGTGAGATGAATGATAACCAAGTGAGATTAACTTACAAGATAGATGACCAAGAATCAATCAAGCCTAAAGAAACTCCACCAGCTTGAAAGATCAATCCACCACCAAGTTTGGCCGAACTTGGGTAAAGGAACTCCAAGAGAAAACAATTCTCCAGGGTAAACACTATTCATGCAATAGTCAATGTCTAACTTCATATTATGATAGAGTGACTTTAAATAGGTTTTACAAAACCTGGGAATTACCCTAACGAATATTACAACAAAATATTACACAAAATATTAAGGGATAATTCCCCACCATACAATATCAAAAGTGCAAGTCATAGCCATTTAATGCTATAGACAACATTTCCTTAGATGAAGGATCTATGTCCCTAATCACAATTTTCTTGATTTTCCTTCGACATTTGAACCAAATAGCATCCACAACTTGGGCTTGGACCAATGAAGCTTCTTCCCACTTGATCTCCACGGCTTGGGCTACAAAAAATGGCTTGTACCATGTCTTGGACCCTTAACACCCCTTAGACAAGTTTATGAGCTTCCTTGAGTGCTTGGGCCGAATGTTGTCCATCTTAGGGTCCTTGAATCTTCAATGAACTCTCTTGCATGTTTAAAGAACATGATGGGCTTGGATTCGCATCGGATGATGATGGAGTCAGGTGGTTTAATCGACGTCGGAAACCATCCAGATTGGGCTTGAGAACAGTCGGTCGAGCAAGGCTGGGGGTCGCACAAACAATGCAAAAATGGTGCAATATCAGTCCGAAAACGAACCAATTAATCAGGCTTGGGAAAGGTACAATCGGTGATGAGGAGATGATTTTTGCCCATTTTGGTGCAAAATCTGGCTGAAATCCAGCTAAAATCCAGGAGGGAGAGAGAGGGGTGGGACAGCGGTGTGCTGACCATTTTACCCTGTAACTATTAAATTAAAAAAAAAATCTGGTAATTTAAGGGTGGGAACTAGGGGTGAGCACGGGTAGCGGGTAGAACCGGAACCGGGGGTAAGAACCGGAACCGGAACCGGAACCTACCCAGAACCTGCACTGTGCGGGTAGGTTCCGGTTCCAATTTTTTGGAACCGCTACTGTGCGGTTCCGGTTCCGGTTCTTACCCCCGAAGGAACCGGAACCGGAACCAGAACCTGTAAAAAGGGTACCCTGTTTGGAACCTGTTTGGAACCTGTTTTGGAACCTGTTTTGGAACCTGTTTGGAACCTGTTTTGGAACCTGTTTTGGAACCTGTTTGGAACCTGTTTTGGAACCTATATTGGAACCTGTTTTTGGAACCTGTTTAGAACCTATTTTGGAACCTGGACTATAATGAAATATTTGTGAAATGTAAAACTGGGGAAGTTTCTATTATTTTACATATAAAAAAATTAAAATAGAAAAAATTAAATTTTTGAATAACCTAATTAAATAAATATACGAATAACATTAACTTATTACATATAAATTACACCATATTAAAAGCTTTATATATTATAATATATTAATATTAAAGTTTTGATCAATAAGTGAATAATTGGAATATGATCCAATTAAAAGTGTTTTACATTTTTAATGTTATTAAAAGAATATTTTTTGAATAAAATAGTATATTTGATTGAGTATAATATTTTAGTTATTTACTTCAATTATCAAGTTCTAAGTATATCTATAATAAATTAGTAATTAATTAATTATATATGATAAATTGATAAACATATAAATTATTACTAGTTAAATATCATACTTAATCAATTATAACATTACATTATAGTTAATGATTACTTAATTAATTATAATTTTATAACATTACTTAATTGATTTATAGTATAATTAATTATAGCATTACATTAATTGATTACTACTTAATTATTGACTTTATTATAAACATTAGACAAAACTTAATTAAATGATTTTAAAAATCATTTAATTAATTAAATATTACATTAAAAATTTATAGTATGATTATTTAATAGTTAATTCACTATAACATTACATTATAGTATGATTATAAATTATTATAACATTCTAATTAATAATTACTTAATTGATTTGAGTTATGATATTATGTTTTAAACTTAGATTACTAATTTGCTACTAAATATTAGCACAATACTTAATTGAATGATAAGAAATTTAATTAATTATAACATTACCTTATAAACATTTCATTATAAACATTAATTAAACATTACATTATAGTTAAATAATTACTCAATTAAATTAATATTATTATATTACATTATATATTATGATCACTTACTTAATTATAGCATTACATAGTTAAATGATTCATAATACATAATAGTTATGAATTTATAACATTACATTTAAACATTAGTAATTTACTAATTTACTATATTATTACATTACTTAATTAAACGATTAAAAATTTAATTAATTATAACATACCTTATATATTTATAATATAATTACTTAATCAATTATAACATTCTATTATAAACATTATATATTAATCAAATGATTTGAAATTTATTAATTAATATAAATTATAGATTTATAGTATAATTATTTAATTCATTATAACATTACATTATACTACTATAGTAGATCATATAAGTAATATAACATTACATAATTAAAATTACTTAATTGATTATCAGTTATGATATTATATTTAAACATTGTATTACTAATTTACTATATAAACATAGCACAATACTAATTGAATGATAAAAATTTAATTAATTATAACATTATCTTATAAACATTTCATTATAACATTATTAAGTATTACATTATAGTTAATAATTAATACTCAATTAAATTAATATTATAATATTACATTATATTGATTACTTTTAATTATAACATTATATAGTTAAAATATTACTAATTACTTAATTAGTTATGAATTTATAACATACATATAACATGTAATTACTATACATACATTACTTATAAACGATTAAAATTTAATTAATTATAACATTACTTTATATATTTGTAATATGATTACTTAATCAATTATAACATCCCATTATAAACATAGTATATAATTAATGATTTGAATTTATTAATAAATATTAAATTATAGATTTGTAGTATGATTACTTAATTCATTATAACATTACTTAACTATTTATGTATGATCATAATTAATATAACATTTATAATTAAATAATTACTTAATTGATTATGATTATGATATTATATTTTAAACATTAGTAATTACTAATTTACTACATAAACATTAGCACAATACTTAATTAAATGATAAGAAATTTAATTAATTATACATTACCTTATAAACATTAATTAAGCATACATTATAGTTAAATAATTACTCAATTAAATATAATATATTATATTACATTATATTATGATCACTACTTAATAATTATAACATTATTTTTAAATGATTACATAATTACTTAATTAGTTATGAATTATAACATTACATTATACTTAGTAATCTACTATACTATTACATTACTTAATTAAACGATTAAAATTTAATTATTATAACATTACTTTATATATTTGTATATGATTACTTAATCATTATAACATTCCATTATAAACATTAGTATATTAATTAAATGATTAAAATTAATTAATTATAATATTAAATTATAGATTTGTAGTATGATTACTTAATCATTATACATTACATTATACTATTATAGTATGATCATAATATTAATATAACATACATAATTAAATGATTACTTAATTGATTATGACATTATATATAAACATTAGTAATTTACTATTTGCACAATATTTAATCGAATTATTATAATTTTATTAATTATAACTATAAAATTTATTGTATGATTATTTAATTAATTATAACATTCTATTATAAACATATTATAATCTTAATTAAATGATTAACAATTTAATTAATTATAATATTACATTAATTAAATAATATATTACTTAATTAATTATAACATTACAATTTACATTGTGTATGATCACTTAATTAATTATAACATTACAATTTACATTGGTATGATCACTTATTTAATTATAACATTACTTGTTTCTAATATTAAATTACTAAATTATATTGGGTATATTATAAATACCCAATTACCCAATTATAACATTAATTAATAAATTTATAAACATTAATAATTTATTAACTTATCAATAGACCCCTGGCAAATGGCAATGTTGTAATTATTATTAAGAATGTTGTTTATTTAAATGATTTTGGTGAAGTTATTTTATGTGAATTGTATGAATAATTGTTTGTGTTTTGGTTTTGATTGACGAATATTATGTGAATTGTGATGAATTGATTGAATTCAAGTGTTCTTAGAGATTACAGGTTATGAGTTACATTGGACACAAATGAATGAATAACGAAAATTTGTTAGGGTGTTTTTGTAACCTTAAAAGGTGTTTTGTTATTTTTTTAAACTAATAGGGGGGTAATTGATTTTTTACAGGGTACCCTGGAAAGGAACCGGAACCTGCATTTTAGGTTCCGGTTCCTTGAATTGAAGAACCTGTACTGTGCGGTTCCAGTTCCGGTTCCTTTTTTTGGGAACCTGTACTGTGCGGTTCCGGTTCCGGTTCCCTGGAAAAGTGCAGGGTACCCGGAACCGCTCACCCCTAGTGGGAACTTACAGATTGGCCAAACCTTGGGTATTTACTCAAAAAAAAAAACTTACCAGAGGATCACTTCACTTTCTTCTTCAGGTGCTTGACCAGTGTTAGAACCATCATAGCTCCACTTGGGAAGCTCAGAAGGATCACTAACAGCTCCGTTAAGAGTTTGTAAAACCAAAAGAAGAATTAGAAACTGAAATGATACTGACAAATACAACAAATGTTTCTTCTTAATTTCTAATAAAAAATAGAAAGTTGACTAGTGATTACTCTTGCTTTGCTGCTCAAATCCGTACCCGATCCGCGATCCTAATAACAATTAAAACAGAGCATTATACAGTAAAACAGAGTGACAAAAAGTAATAAGAGAGAGAAAGAGGAATTCAAGTTGACGAGACGAACCATATGTACTCGGCGATGATCTTGTCCGTGGATTCTGAAAGGTCAAGGTTCACAAGATCTGTAAGAGAAGACATTTCACTAACAAAAGTCAACTAAAAGTAATTCAATATCCTCTTTGTTTTCGCTTGTATGAATGGTTTGGATAATGAGGCCAGGCCAGGATGATTATATAATAGTGGCATCTTATTCTAATGCAGTTCTTTTTGTTATTATCTAATACGTGCAGGGTGTTTTCATTGGCCAACTGTTTTGGCCTTAACTTATTGGCTAAGTAGCTCTAGAACTTACCTCTCCATGATAGTGGAATCTTATTCTAATGCAGTTCTATAATATGCCTCTCTAGGCATAAACTAATAGTGTTTTATTTTTATGAATAATTTTTTATTTGTAATGATATTAATTTTAATTATGATCAGGAGGGTGGTATAATGAAGAAATCATATGATAATCCTAGATTAATGAAATATTGTGATATAAAAATTGATATTTAATAAACCTAGATATATAATTAATCATTTAAAATATAAAAAAAAAAACTCCCTCATGATCTTCCAAAACTTAGGAGGTTGATGAGTCTTTTCATGGCGGAATGTTGGATTTTGGTGGTTTGATTAATCGGAATTTTACTTGGGAATGGCAGTTGTGCAAACCCTAATCGCTCGATTGTCGGAGAAAGCAAGGTGTGAAAGGTTTTGGTCAGTGATGAACGGGGAAGAGAATGATGGTGGTGTGGGCTATAACGATGTCAGAATTGGAAATGGGATATAAATTTGGATAGTAAAATGGTATTTAGGAGTTTGTTGAGCTTGCATTGATGAGGGAAGCTCATGTAATGAAGCAGCTGGTGAGCTTCTTGCTGTAAAAAAATAGAGAGAAAAGATGGGCTTGTCAACGGAAACAGGGGAAAAAAACAAAGAATAGATGAGAAAGAAAACGAGAAAAATAAGGGAAAAGAAAAAGAAAGGAGACTTGATAAATCAAACACCTAATAGGAAAAGAATGAAAGAATAGGAATTGAGGAGGAAAAGAAAAAAAAAAAGAATAAAATTCGTGGATATCCGGTTATCTGATCCGGATATCCACATAATTCAGATTGGATTCGAATCAGGATATAACTTGATCAGAAAATCTGGATCGGATATCCGCATTTGCACAGCTCTATCTATAGGCAAATTTTAAATTATTATATACCTAAAAAAAATCCAAAACATATTAAATCACATACTATTAAATCTAAAACAAAGAACCTGTAGACAAATGCATGTATGTAGTCATAATTTGAAGAAAAATTCTTATATTATCTGATACAATTTGTATTTGTGGCATGAGATTAAAAAACAAATAAAGGATTCTCATTTCTATAGATTCATTCAAGTCAAGAGCGATGACCAAAAGAAAATATTAGCATAAATAAATAAATAACGGGATAGGGACAAATTAGGTATAATGTAACCTAACCGTTGAAGTGGTTTAGAAAGGAATATTCCATAAACATCGTCGGTGAAGTTTTGAAAAGTAAAAAAGACACCCACTATTTTAATAGACACAATTTGGGTTGTTTACAATTCTTCAAAAATTTTAATCACAAATAAAGGATAGTGCTTACAATTCTTTGATTACGGCAAGTTTCAGAGCAAGGTTTAACAAGAAAACATTAATAAAAATGGAAGTTCTAGTGTCTCTTTAGTGATGATGATCTTCCTTCTAGTTCTTACTCTCTTTCCTTTATCCTATAGAAGCGGAATCATAAACTTTTTTTGAGGGTCCAAATATTTGTTTTGATATCTAATTTAATAAGTTTTATCATTCAAAATGAAACATTTTTAATGTTTGATATTTAGGAACTTAAAAATTGACATTTAATAATTAATCATTTAATATATAAAAGGAAAACTCCGTCATGTTCTTCCAATATTTTACGAACTTTAAAATCTTTCACATAAAGTACGTTTGATAAAGTATGATTTCTACTAATTTTGCAGTAGTGGTTATGATATTTAAAGAAATAAGCATAAAAACCAGATTATGGGTATGTCAAAAGATTCCTTAAATAGATCTCCTGGCAATTTCTCCTTAAAAACCAGACATTACAACGCCTTACATCTTCTTACACTATTCATTTATTCTTTCCGTCTTATTCTGCTTCACAGTTATCGCGTCTCTCTCGTGCTTTCCACTTTCCACTTTCATCTTTCTCATATTTGACTTTTAATTGGCCAAGGAGGTGTTATTGTTTAGAAGAAAAAAAACTTACCACATCAATTATACCATAAACCAATAATTAGGGGTGTTTGATTCTGGGTACTCTACACTTTTTGAGGGAACTGGAACCAGAACCGGAACCGACGGTTCCTTAAAATTTGGAACCAGAATCGAAACCGACAGCTCTAATTCCTAGATACTCAAAACCAGAACCTCTAACAACGGTTCCGGTTCCGGTTCCGGTTCTGGGTACCCTGTAAAATTCATGACCCCCCAAAAGTTTTTAAAATGGCCAAAAAAACCCTTAAAAACTTGTAAATACCTCCTACTTGGTACTTGTTAACAAAAATAAAATTACAAATTATAAATTCAAAATTACAAACTCCATTACTTTGTAAAGGTAGATTCTCAAAAGTTAAACCAACTTACTTTAAATATTATGAAATATAAATATAAATATATTCACATTACTTTTTTTACAAAAATTTTCATTAACCCCCCTAATCTTTAATTTTATTTTATATTAGTCTCAGTTCCTGGTTCCTGGCTCTGGTTCTGGTTCCTAACTATAGGAACCTCAACCGCAACCGCAATCGGAATCGGAACCGCACAGTAACGGTTCCAAAAATTTGGAACCGCACAGTAACGGTTCCAAAAATTTGGAACCGGAACCTACCCATTGACGATTGGTTATGGATAGGAACCAGAACCAAACTCAGGGTACCCGTCGGTTTCGGTTTCAGCCGGTTCTTTTGAACACCCCTGCCAATAATGATATTTCAAAATATCATCTTTTTTTTTATCAATTAATATAACAATAAAGTTTGGCTCACAATACAATCTTATAAATTTTCTCTAACTGACGTGACAACTTACAAATAGACAGACGAGACTCATTATTGGACAGGTGAGACTCATTGTTAACTGTCATATTAGAGTTATAAGAAAATATTTATAAGATTGAATTATAAGTGTAATATTATCTTAATGATCCATAAAATGTGTATGTATTAATTTGTGAGCCGCTCAAATCTTCTTCCAAAA